AATATAGAGAATGAGAGAGCTAGGTGTTGATAAATCTGTCTATAAAGAATGAGAGAGCTAGGTGTTGATAAATCTGTCTATAAAGAATGAGAGAGCTAGGTGTTGATAAATCTGTCAATAAAGAATGAGAGAGCTAGATGTTGATAAATCTGTCTATAGAGAATGAGAGAGCTAGGTGTTGATAAATCTGTCTATAAAGAATGAGAGAGCTAGGTGTTGATAAATCTGTCTATAGAGAATGAGAGAGCTAGGTGTTGATAAATCTGTCAATAAATAATGAGAGAGCTAGGTGTTGATAAATATATCTATAAAGCTTACGAAATTTAGGTTTTATTGTTTCAGGTAGATTTTGGTTTTGCCAAAAAATTAATGCCAGGCATGAAGACCTGGACCTTTTGTGGAACACCAGAGTACGTTGCTCCAGAGGTTATTTTGAACAGGGGTCATGACATCTCAGCTGACTACTGGTCTCTAGGAGTTCTGATCTTTGAGTTGCTTACAGGCATGTAAGTAAATCTAGCTGGTTGTTTATGATACTTCAACTATTAGAAACTGGTATATCTAGCTGGTTGTTTATTATACTTCAACCATTAGAAACTGGTATATCTAGCTGGTTGTTTATTATACTTCAGCCATTAGAAACTGGTATATCTAGCTGGTTGTTTATTATACTTCAACCATTAGAAACTGGTATATCTAGCTGGTTGTTTATGATACTTCAACCATTAGAAACTGCTTTAATGTTGTGGTGTTTAATGATCTTTCAGGGTCATTATTGGCATAAGAATATCCTGTTTTATTATATTAGAAATTAAGTTATTTCATTGTAAGATGAATAAAAAACAAGTTGTTAAAGCAATGATGCAGGTGAAACATTTGCATGTCTATTTTATAGATACACCATGACATTATTTTAAGTTTAGTTCATGTTATACCATGACGTTATTTTAAGTTTAGCTCATGTTACACCATGACATTATTTTAAGCTTAGCTCATGTTACACCTT